CAGAACCTACGTTTTTACGGATTCCGGACATGCTTATCAGAAGGCAGGCTCGTCGAGAGAAGAGGTTTCACGGCTAAAGTGGTCAGGTTCTGTCTTGAAGGTGTTCAGGGTAACTGGGTCTCGATGAATCTCTTAAGAGAGCATTGTTGTGGAGACTTTCAATACGAAGTTCAAGTTGACGCATGCCACGAGACATCTTCCCTCGCTTAGGGAGAGGCCGGGCTCGGCTTTCGCCCATCAAATCACGGGCTTCATCAAATCTGGAATTTATTCCTGCAAAAATGTAAGCTAACGCTGAGTTTATTCTGGATGAGAATAACTTTTGGGAGACAAGGATATGTGAAATTGACAGGAAACGTAAGGTCTTCTCTTCTGATTGCGGGAAAATTCAACTACCAAGCCTTTTGGCTTTATGAAAGAAATAGGGCGAACTTATCTCATGAAAATGAGTAAAGAAGATTATTCGGTTCATGGCTAAATCGAAAATATATAAATATAAATAGATATTCTCCAATTCCAAATGAAAGCGTATGTTAGTCTTTATAAGATGTATTCACCCAATTTCGTTTAAGGTGATGAAGCACTGGTAGAAGGAGAATTTTCCCACAATGGTATGAGTTGAGCTGACGTTACCATTGCATTTCACATAGACTTGCTTTCCCAAAAGTTCGGTTCGACTCCCGCTGATGGTGTTGATAAGACGGTTGCGAGGTCGAAACTGCAGTCCACTGGTGCCTGGATGAGAACAACTTTTGGAGAGGCAGAGCTTTGTGAAACTCAATGGAAACATCAGCTAAATTCATATCATTGTGGGAAAATTCTTCTTCTACCAGTCATTCATCAGCTTAAACGAAATAGGGTGAATACACCTCATTACACTGATTTACTGCTAGTCTCGAAAATCCACTTACATGCGAAAAATAGTCTTCTTGAGTTAGACTTGTTTAGACTTTTGCAAGAATGGTTTCCAGGTCTGATGATGAAAGCTAACTCTGTTTTTGTTCGAAATGACTTAGGACTGTTGTATAGAGC